AAAAATATAAAAAATCTAAAACATTTTAAACCTAAAAATTCATTTATAATTTAATAAAACACATTTTACCTATATCCATGAGTCGGACTGCTTCTTCTTCTCTGAAATAATTAGCTGACTTTTTTTCACTTAGTAACACCGACATTACTTTTTTTTTGCCCCAAAGGTCATACGACGTTTTTTATATGATCATTATGAGGAATGTTGAAATTACCTACATATTTGCAGTCAATAAGAACCCTAGAATAATAGGTAAGATATATGATAGGTGACTATGTATTAAAAAGATATGAGGTATTGTAGCATAAATTACCTCGGGTTTTTGAACTAAGCAAACAGAATAAAACGAATGGGCCAAAAAAATTTAAAATTTACTTATATGGGAGGGGACTGTGAAAATTATTTTTGTATTTATAGTTATTCATAATTGCATACTATTACAACTCTTAGATTTTTTTAATTAGAAAACGTTTTTTCGTTTAATCCATGTAATTAATATAATATTATATAAAATACCTAGAATTTGCAGGTGAGGGCTTATGTTGTATAACACCTTTAAAAATGGAACCACACGTTTTACACCTTCCAAAAATGGTAACATAGTTTTTTCCAGATTCGTATACTTTCGCTCGTTTGAATACTGAACAGCACTGCAAGTGAGTGTGCTCCCAAAAATGTTCGGCAATAATGTGTGACCAATCACTTTTGGGTAACGTCAAGTATCTTCTTGCCTGATTACGATGCTGGTAAATTCTTGTAACTGGCTCAATGTCTTTCCACTCTTGTGGAGATAAGGTCATAGTTATACGTTTCGATGGGAGGTTATCGGTATCATCATCTGTTGTGTATTCAGTAGAGCAAGAGTTATCTAAACAATTTTTTTTTAAAATTATAATTGTACATTTTTGTTTTGCATTGTAAAACCTTATAATGTACATACATTTATCACTATCGATGTCATCCAACTGGTTAGCCGATTTTTGTTCTGCTTCATTCTCTTTGACCAAACCTAAGATTTTCAGAATTCCCCCTCGGTTAGATGTAATAAAAACATGGAGTGCGGCGGGTGTCATCAAAAAATTGAAATGTTTTGATAAATCCTTCCAAACTTTATCCGACAAATAAGCAACTCCTAAATTACATATAATAAAAATCGTAAAAATCATATTGTGAATTAAATATTTTTTTAAACTAAATAACTCATGATTTAAAAATATAAACAAAATATAAGAAAACTTTTTAAATTTAATTCTATGAATGAATAAAAATAGAACTTACTAATAATAATATTAATAATTATTAGGTAATGACTAATAAGTCTAAAAATATTACAAACGTGTATGGGACACTGAGTACATTGTTATAAATATATATTTTTTTTTAATATCGTGGTTACCCGTATAACATTTCCGTTCATAATAATCAGGGTTGGGATTTTATAGCACTTAAAATTGCACAAATATGCGCTATAATATTACCTAAAATATCGCTAAATATGCGCTAAAAATATGCAATAAAAAACAACAAAATAAGCGAAAAAAGGAAATTAATTAATTAATAATTTTTAATCACTTACAAAGTTACAAACCTATGACTTTAAAGACTTTGTGGATGCTATTGAGAGTTCTAAAAAAATGGCATAATTGTAAAACAAATGGAAGTAAGTGACTTTTTTCTGTGGAAAGACAATAAGTCACAAATAAAAACAAATAGAGTATTATTAAAAGATGTGGTTTGCATTGAAAGCTGAAAGAGGCAAATTTAATATTTATTACAAGATTGACATTACCAATAATTTTTACCAAGAACTAGACTTTTTAAATAAATCTCATCTTAAAAAAGCTCCACTGCCACCTTCTAAGACTACACCATGCGGTATTCATGAAAACAAAAGGGAGGATCTTAGTGACAGATTAAAACAAGTTCTTCCAGATAACAGAAAAACATTTTGGAAAAATTTGCCTGTCAACTTAACTTAACTTTGTGAGTCTGAAATGTTATATTTATTTTTAATTTTTAAGTTTGAATAATATGAGTTCTTTTTTTATGGGCTGTTAACTTTAACAAGTAAGAAATTTTACCTATTGGCTATATTGTAACTATACAATGTTATTTCTATTACAAAAGTATAATAATTATATTATTATTTATTTATGATATTAAACTATTTCAAGATAGAAATGTGATGTAAAAATAAATAATAATATGATTTTTTTGTATGATGTTAACTTTATTAAGTTGCTTAACCATTTCTGCTTAACCACTTTGTTTTGATTAACATGTCAATATGGCTGCTGTCTAATTCAACATCAATTTAATAGCTATTATAAATTATTAAATTCTATGGTAGTCTATGAATTATAAACATATTTAAAAAGTAATATAATTCAGTAATTTTTTTTCTTCATATTATAAGTATTAATCATCATCAATAGAAAAATAAATTGTAGTTAAAAACATTCAATGTACAACTAGCATCAAAATTAAATGTAATGGAGATACTGCATTTGTAAAAATTAACTTTTTATATAGATATGTATTGTCATACTAAATTAAAATTCACGGTGTGTACTAGTTGCGGTCATAATCAAAAATTACATACTAGTTGCGGTCACCCCTCAAAAAGGTTACATACTAGTTGCGGTCATCCATCAAAAAGGTTACATACTAGTTGCGGTCATTCAAATAATAATAACTAAGTATACTAAATAATATAATAAAATATAGTTTATATGATGATTAAATATGAAATTAATATTTCGTTTATTTATTGAATTTAGAAAAATGTATTAATCAACATTTTCCTTCCCATTTATATCGAAAAGATAAAAGACTTAGGACTGTCTACACTATTATTTTTTGTGTAGTTGTGGTTAAAAATGTTGATACCTACTTATGTTTATATTACGTAGTTAAACTTGTGTCAAAATATAGTATATAATAGTAAACTTGTGTCAAAATATAATATATAATAGTATAATAATAATAATAATTATAAATTTTAAAATTTTGTAGGTATAAATTGAAAGGAAATAACTTCACAGATAAGTAGTGGTGTTCCCACATATATACACTGTGTGCATTATATACAACTATGATAAGCTATGACCGCAACTAAGATATTACCTAAATTGGTGTGACCGCAACTGTTATATCTGTTTATCTCAAAAATCGTCATGACCGCAACTAGTATGCAGCCAAAATTCAGTATCTCCTAAAAAGACAATTTAAAGGTCAAAATAATCAATTAAGTTAAAAAATAATAACAATTATACACAGTATGCTGATTTCACGTATAAAGTGAAAAAAAAAATTAATGAAATCTGATTATTTTAAGAGGGCGCACTAGTAGACAAAATATGGCATAAAAACATGGTTTCGTAATTCAAGTAATACGGCTTATTGAAGAGGTTTACAGAAAAAATACCTAATATAAAAATTGTAGAGGAGAATTTTCTTAACAATCGTAAGAAAGCCGATTTTCGATATTTATATTAATTAGTTGAATAATTAATCGATAAAAAGTAAAAAAAAACGTGTTAATTTACCATGCGATATTGGAAGATTGGAACAAGGTATCAAAAATCGGGCTTCTTACGATTCTAGAAAAAATTCTCCTCTACAATTTTCGTAACAGGTATTTATACTGTAAAACGCATCACAACGCCGTATTACTTGAATTACGAAACCATGATTTTCGGTTAAAAAAAAAAAGCTCGTCAATTAATAATTACGCTCGTCGTGTGCTGCGCCCATAAACAGCGGCAGCGTTCGTTACTAGACGTACATTTTACCATCACTCCGCGCCCGATAACGACAGTACCGCACCATAGGCCAAAACAGGTTTTCTATCGCAGCCGTGCGCCTGTACATAGTTTATAAATACCCAGATAAGAAAACTGTTTTATCGCCGATATGCTCCTACGAATTAGGCGGTTGGCAATATCGACTTGCAGTGTATAAGGTAAGTAGGTACAGTACAAACAGGTGACCCACCGGTGAACGATACCGGCGAACAACAAATATAAACTCAAGAAGTATGGTAACGGCGTGCGAGACGCCTAACAACAATATATTATAATATACACACTACACAAAATAGGTAAATAATTATGACAGGGCGCCCCACTATCAAATAGTATTATAAATTACAATTAAATGAGATTATAACATTAAAAAAAAACATATATATATATATAATTGACCTGAGTACGGCTCCGAATCCGATGTAGGTTAATGAACGGCAGCACGCAAATAATTGATAAGGCGGCACACGGTCTATAAGCATAGAACCAGCGGCGGCACGCGAATGATTAACACAACGGCACACTGTATGTATTCGCAATAACCAGTGGCGGCACACGGTATGTATTCGCAATGAACCAGTGGCGGCACACGGTATCTTCGGGGTTAACGCGTCGGCATGCGGTATAGGCCAGCAGCGTCACGCGGTCTCCACGTGGCGGCACACGGAGGTAACGACAATAATCCAGCGGCGGCACACGGAATAGTCACACGGCANGGTGTAAAAATTAAAAACATATTAATTATTAAATGCTATATAAAAATAAAAATATAAACTATAAATCAAATTAAATATTACTATACCAGATTCAAACACCGGATTATGAAAAATACTGTCTTTACGATTGTTTATGTTTATGAGCAATTTTTTTGACAGTGGGGTATTTAATTTTTTCAATTTCATTTGTGTGTTAAGCCAAATACCAAAGCAGTCACCAGGATTTAAATCATTTTTCTGCATTTGAATTGTAGCTGTTTTGGCTGGCTCCAAATCATTAACCTATTATTTATTTTAAATTAAAATATGTACTACCAAATAAAGTATAAGCTTCAAACTGTAATTACCTATTAACTTTATTATTATTAGTGCAAAGTTACAACCAATTACAAATAAAACACCTTCATGATAAATTAATACAATTTTTTTTGTTTCCTTTTTTATATTTTCAAATTAATTAAATTATAAAATGCTTTAGTTTAGACTTAGAATTTAGGAAATAATTATATATATAGATCAACATTTATTGTGATTTGTATTACCTATTCATATTATACTTACCAAATTATGTATTGAATCCCAATCATGATCATTTAATAATTTTTTGGCATTAACACTACAGAATGTTCTTAGTTCTAAAAGTCTATTTAGCATGTTATATGTACTGTTCCAGCGTGTTTCAATATCTAATATTGCCTGTTTTAACCCTTCTTTTTTTAACCATGCTGAATACGTCTGGGTTCTCAGAGACTTTGCTGCCTACAATGTTCAGATACAATATTATTGTTTAGTGTTTATACTTTTAAACAACATTTTATTAGACCATAAATTAAACTTATGTTTTATTCAAATTCTAATAATATTCTATATATTTCAAATTGTTCAATTTCAGAAGTCTTGCTATTTTAGCAAATTAATATTACAATTTAATATATGTTAATATAAATTATATTCAATATTTGATTAGGTGCCTATATTATATCATCATGGTTTACTCTTTATGATAATAGGTATGCTATTAATTATTATAGCATTATTATACTACTTACTTTTCTAGCTTTTGATAAAATACCACTTATAGATCTTTCTTTTAAAGTATCATATACACTCAGTTGAAATGTATGAACAGCACACCGTACACAAGTAGTCATTGGAAATTGATCAAGAATAGAAGCTGTTACCAAATTTTCCAACTCCAAACAATCATTGGCCCGAAGTTCATTACCATTATTATCTTCTGAAAATAAATAAAATATTGCATAAATCTCAATACACATTATAGTAATACATGAAGTATATTTATCAAAATACTCAAAATTTGCCATTTACCTTCATTCAATTCCTGAGGTTCATCATTGTCATTTTCTACTTCTTCTTGTGTATCAGGTTCAACTATATTAAATAAGTCCACCATTTTTACCATATTTTTTGCATTATCACAAGTTATGGTAAAAATTTGGTCAGATGTTACACTGTATCGTTCCAAAATTATCATTAGCTACAAATTATAAAAACAAAATTGTAATTGAAACAATTTATTTAGTAAGTGATAAATATTTTTTATAAATTAATTTAATAAATTATTACCATTTCTTTTAAATAACTGCCAGTGTGCTTGTCCAAAAGTTGAATCAATCCTAAAGTTAGGATTTTAATTTTGCCATCACTAAAATACTGGCAATTTATTCCTAAAATGCATCTGTCCAGTCTTGTCACGCCATCAACTTTTAAACAAATAAGTCTATTTTTCAATTCTTTTTTTATACTAATAATCATATTATTGTATTTTAGTTCAATTTCATTTTTTATATTGTGGCGATTAATGGAAAATCCTAAAAGACAAATAATTAAACATAGATATTAGATAATACTATAATATTAAATTGATTAATAATTATTCAGGAAATTATATGGTAATTTATTGGTAGCATTAATATAAATACCTGGTTCAATAGCTTTTAATAAAGGGTTCAAAATTTTTTTAAACCCGCTGTCTTCTAAAATAGACAATGGTCGTCCATTTTCAGAAACTAATTCAATGCATGCATTAATCAATGTATTTTTGTCCATTTCTATTGTAATTTTTTTTTTAGACACTGTTACTATATTATCAAGTGTTCCTTGATGGTGGACCTTAAATGATTTATAATATTATAATTTTATAAATAAAAATTATCATTTATCACTTTATCAGTTAAAACAACTTTTATATTTTCTATAAATTATTAAGTGTCAACATTTAATAGTATATTTCTCATTAAATTATCCATTTAAATACCAATGACTATAGTACCAAAAGCATTAAGATAAATTTAAATCAAATAATTGTTGGCTTAAAAATGAATATTAAAATATTAGATACCTATGTATAGTTATAATTTCATAAATAATTTTAATTTTTAACAAAAGTAAATTTTTAATTTGTCTTATATTCATATAAAATATAGGTAAAATCCTTACCTTCTGTTTTTTATTTTGTTCTGATCCTTGTTTTTTTAGCAATAATTTATTGAAATCATCAGGATGAATTTTTTGTAAATGTCTCTCGAGGTTCGATGCATGCCTCCCAGTAAGATAAGTAGGGCAGCCTTCAATTAAACATTTTGATTTGTTAGAATCGTTATCGAATTTAAAATATAACTTTTCAACTGGATTCCGCTTGCCCATATTACCGTTTAACGTTTTAACAAAATATTTTAATAATAATTTAGTTACCTACTTGACATTCGCACGACAACTTAACGCGAATTGACAGTACGCACTGGTGTATTTCAAATAAACACCATGAAAATACGAAATCACATTATCACAAATAAATCACATTATTAAGCTAATAAACTGCAATGATAATAGTATCAACATTTAATTATTTAAGTTATAAATAGCTATAACTTTCAATACTCATCGAAAACCTTATGGCTTATATTATTGATAGAAAATCACAAATACCAATAACTTAAATGAATTAATATACGACATTAGTCATTACGACTATATACGGTCTATTATTAATTTGTACGTATATTTTTTTCCAATAACAAGTTATTGCGACTACGTCGGACACTAGGTATATTATTTATTAATAACTAATAACTAATAACTAAGAATTAATAAGTAACCAGTATTGATAAACTTAAACTAATCACTAAATCAATTAGATAGGTACCTATCAAATATTCTGAGAAATTCAAAATCTTAATCTATTGATCAATACCAGCATAAGTGCATAACAGAAGGTGTTCACAAAACACGAAAAAATATATAGCAATATATACTAATTACTAGATGTCTAGGTATATAATATATAATATTTACCTACCTAATAGTATAATAAACTTATATAACAAAATATAAGTGGAATTCAATTTATATTTATTATATCTACAGAGAATTGTATAGTTTAACCGTTATATTCACAGAATATCGACTCTCGTTTTAATGTTTTATGTTCGGATATTTCTAAAATATTAAATAACATAATAGTATCAGAAATCATTTAATTTAAAAAACCGGTTAACCACTAAGTAAAAAAAACGGTTTCGGTTTTGGTTACCGTTCAAATAACCACGGTCCACGGGTTTCAATCTCGGACTTGAAAACCGCTCTCTTGTTTTATTGCTCCCGCTCTGGTTACGGTTAAGATAAATCATCAAAACCCAATATTAACCGGTTTTAACCGGTTTTCATAAAACCGGTTTCCGTCCCTGGATTGAAGTAAAACTCAGACAACATTACTTCCATTTTGTTTTTCCAAAATGTATCATCACGTTCTATTTTATCAACACACATTCCTACAATAATACAAAAATAAATAATAACATAATAATATAATATTATTATAACGGAAAAAACTTTATTTTACCTTTTGGTGTCCATACAATAAAGTAACAAAATGTTCTATTAGTTATATGAAGTTGCCCTTGTACTTGATAATAATATATATGTGTTTTCTTTAAAATTAAATTATCCAATAATTGTACTTCCATAAACTTTAATTTTTTTTCGTTGTACGCATCTTTAGGTGTTAAGTCTTTTATAGAAATGGGACATTTGATTTCTATAATTGAATCGTCTCCAATTAGTCCATCCGGGGAAGCTGCCAAGTCAACAAACAGTCCTGCTAGTTTTACATTACATGCATACAGTTTTTCAAATTCTTGTCTGGCTATAGGTTCAAATTGTATTCCATAACTAAATTCAAATTATTAAATTAATATAAGTGAAATATTATCATTTAGATTTAAAGAAAAACAAAGTTAAAATGTACCGGGTTGCTGAGGTACCGTGAAAAAATCTGATTGTTATATGATTGAAATCACGCTTTTTTCCCTTGAAGTCGTTTTTCGCAATTTACAAATTCTACCAAAATTTGAAGCAGTTAATCTTTTATATCTTTCCTTTTTCCATTCTTCACAATTTGATTGTTCAATTGTTCGACTTTGTAATTCGTTTATCTCATACATGGTTATAATTTTAAACTGGCTAAAAATTCCAATTTTTTTTCTTCGAATTCTTCATGGGACATGGGTAATGGATGACAATCTAACTCTTCATCCACCGCTCCATAATCGACATCAGGTCCATAAGTAATTTTTTTTTTTTCGGTCTTTAATAAATTAAGAAAATTAATTTAATTGAAAATCATATTTAAAAGAAAATTGTTAGGCAAAAAAATATTATTATAAACAGATATATTACTTAGTTTGAGCTAATGCGTTGTTTTCAATTCGCAATTTCGACTTTGTTTGTTTGGAAATATATTGTTTCGTATATTTACCTGGACTAAAGTTAGTTACTTTTTTGTGAAACTTTCTCGAGTGCTGAGGTCCATAATTATATGCTAATACTGCATTATGACAACGAACATTGTATGAACCTAAATAATTATTTAGAACAAAGTCGTATAGTACAACAATAATTTTAAATTTAACTATATATAGGCACTAAATTAAAATTAAATATTAAACACCTTTAAAGGAAAAGTTGATCCGTTTACCCCCTACATATTTTGCAACAATACTATTGTAACCTTCGACATAGTTATTATTTACGTGGTGTATCAAACTGTTCGCATGATATGCTACTAAATTAACAGCTGCTATGAAATCATTCCACACCCCACAATTTTTGTAATTCAGGGACTAAGTTAATTTCGTTGGATTTACTACCTGTACAAAAATACCTAAATAAAAATTGTAGTTGAAATATGAATTTTGTAATAAAAAAATATCCATTAATTAATAAACCTGTCGCATTTGTCATGAGATCCAAATACATGAAAAAGTCCATTCAATATATCAACTTTCAACAATTTGACTTTTTCATCGTGTGGTATATCCATTTGTTTTCTAAACATTATAGCTTTTGAAACGGCAAAACTGTGTAACATAATATAATAATTATGATATTACAGAACTTACATATTAAAATATTATTTTTATTTTGCGAATGTTCTATGTATTAATTTATTTATAGGTATCAACATTATTTAATTACCGTAATCTCAACAAATTTTCTTTTAGTTTTGTTCTTACAAAGCCAGATACAATATTTCCTGATGTACTTTTCCTTTTGGTAGAAAAATCCCTAAGACGAGTCGAGTAATTTCGCAAAATATGATTTGTACATTCAATTTTTTCTACTAAAAGGTCAGATCCGTATGGTTTTATCATTCTCAATTTTTTTATTACGCTGCTGTCGCCGTCTCCTATCAAATTTCTATAAATTAAGTTGTGAGTCTTTATGCTCTGACTGAACCCATCGACAATAATATCTGACTCCATAGCTGTAGAAGTCCCTGTCCAATTTTTGTAGCATAAGTGAGGAGTCGTTGATTTTTTTAATGCTTCTGCTTTTTGACACGTGGAACAATATTTGTTTCGGATTCCAATGAATAACACCTTTTTGGTTCTATAACCAACTATACATGCCTACATTTAAAATAATTCAGTAAATTTATTTACTAAAAATGTTCTTACATAGAAAATAAAATAAAATAATAACAAGAATCATCAGAAAAAGAATATAGGTAAACACATCTTTTTTTGCCATAGACATTTAAAAATGTTAACATACATTTAATACTGTCCCTCCCAATGATTTAATTTATCATGCAATTTATCAAAACAACGAAAATTTCATACAATTTAAAAAATGTATAGGTACCTAGCAGATAATGGCGTTATTCGAATAAAATTTTACTTAGAAGATTATTTAGATAACATTTTATTCTAATACATTATTATTAGAATAACAAATTGTTCGAATCATTTTCATAATACATACATGTAGACATACTAGAAGAACTATAAACATTATATAATACAATGTATTATAGTATATATATAATATATAATATTATTATATATTGTGGATATTCGCTCGGAAAATAACAATTATTTCAATATTTTGTTTTAGTTCAATACAAGTATACCAATATAGATCGATATTATGTACTTACTACTCCGGATAAAGCATTATAGTTAGACTTATACGATCTTTTAGACCAAGCTCCATCGGCTACAACACTTATCATAGGAATCCCGTCTTTACTTATATCTCCGTTGTCGTATGCAAGTTGAGCTTCTTCTTTGGCAGCCTCTTCGGTTGCTTCCCAAGAAATAGCTTCAACTTTTTTTCCTACTTCTTCATGAAGCTTTTGGTATGTAGGATTAGACAGATATTTAATGTTGCAGAAAATTGTTCTAGGCCTGAAAACCCTTGACCAGTATTTATAGTAGAAGTTACCATAGCTAAATTTATTGGTAGAGAGTATTTTGGGCATTCTGAGGACACAATGTCTTGTTTATTACATACTTTGCATTTAAAAATAAATTTACTGTAAAATCCTGATCGACATTCTTTTATAAGATATAAATTTGAAAAATTACAACCAAATGGTTCGTGTTTTATTTTAGAAATTGTTTCAAAAATATATTTTATGTCTACTATTCTTCTACCATCAATGATGTCAACTATGTGTTCTCTGTAAATAAAGGTAAAAAAAATTCTCCCATATTACATTTTTATTGTTAATTTAATGATAAATAAATTGAAAATTGTTTATTACTCAGAATTTAAAGATGGTGTATTATAAACAAC